GGCATCGGGTTCGCCTTCTCCTGGCGTTGTGCGTTCACTGCCATTCAGCAGGCTGGAGAAGTGTTCCCTCCATAATTTAAGTATGCTCTGGGCATCGGTAACTAGATCACTTTTGGGGGTTCTACAAGAGTATGCTCCGGTCTTGAAACCTTCTGTAAGCCGCCGCATTTTTTCGTAGAATTTTCGAGCATTACCCAATTCCGTGAAGATAATTTGTTAAATAGAAAAAGGTTTACAAGGGCTTGATTTTGATCGGTTAGGGCCAAATTTCAAATCGATATCTCAAAAACTTAGGAAGTAGTTAGCGTATACATATACATATAGACGTAGTGACGGGCAGACAGACGGAGCACCTTCAGTGCTCAAAACTTAACCTGTAGTTAACATTTCAAGTATAGAGTCATAGGAAATCGTTGGAAATTATATTTTTTCGGTAGACTGAATAATTTCAAATAGGGTTTTCACAAGTCTGATAAAGTTATAAGTTATAACGATTCGAAAACATAGCATTGAGAATTGTAAATGTGTAAACTCATTTTTGTATGACATCCAACAACATTTTTTTAAACAAGTGTAGAAATTTATAATTTTACGATTTTATGACGCTTTACGACGGGTTGTGAGTACACCAATTGTATAACTACAATTTAGAATTCCGAAAAATAAAACATATATAATAAAATATGTTGTGGTGCCTTCGTGAGTGGATTGCGTTGGTGTGGTGTATTGGCGAGTTCAGCGAAGCAACCGCTTTAGTAGCTGCAGCGTGGTAACAACGCTGCTGAGGTCAGTGGAGCGGCGATATGATGACCTGAGCTGCCAACGTCGCGTTGGCATAGTTCACCATCGCCTGTAATCATAATGAGAGTATTGCTTCTTTTTCATCGATTTAATAAAGAAAGCGACCACGGTTGGCGTTCCGAATCATTTGGACCAAATTTTGTCCATTCATTTTGAATACAATGTTTTATGATGTTTACTGTTTCCAATAAATGGGCAGAGTTTTTCATTATTGCCACAATTACATTCAATGACAGCATTGCTAAATAGTTTCACGAAACTTCCAGAATTGTTCCAACATAAAATTTTTTTGCTTAACGAGTTGGTTTCATAAAGATTGGATTATGCGGTGGATAAAAAACGACTTTTCCTTGATACTGTAAAAATACACCTCTAAGAAAATCTCTCCAAGTACGAGATCGTAAATTTAACCGTAAGGTCAAATGCCTTACAGTCTCCAACTTTACTTATTGTCAGATAACAAAATTTAAATTTTGCTTTTTAACTACTTGACAAAATATCTGGCTTGCCAGAGGAGTTGGAATGCTCTACAAAAAGATCTCTCAAAATTTTTTCGTAAATCTAACCTTACTGTTTTTCTTATGAATTTTATAATTTAATGAAAAAAATCTTTATAAAACGCAGAACTTTGACTGTGGGTTAAAAAACACAGTAGTTCAGCGTTGCATTTTGGTCTGATTGGTTTTGGTAGGCAATGTTTTATCAGATGTACTAGGAAACCAAGTTAAAAGATTTGTTCGCTTAAAATTTCAGACTTTTTTGTTTGCTATGAATACTAATTTAAAAGTAGTCATGAATGGGAGTTTCAAGTATAAAAATAAAATACCTAGAAATTCCATTATAAGATAACAAATTGATATCGACGTCTAGTTAATTAAAATTTAAAATTTAAGACATGGAGGATTGGTGAGGAGAGCATTGTGTTTCATGACGGAAAGCATATAGGCCTCGCTATGTACTTAGATGTGTAACAAGAGACACTAAGATTAATCGTGAAGCAGAATTTGTATACGTCTGAAGCTTATTCGTCTGCGTTTCATTACATATCGGTGCGGCGTAGTTAATAACGATTGCCTTGTGTGTTGCCAGCAACGTTTACCCAGGAGCTACTGGCTCCTGAGGATTTGGTTACGGCTCTGTACTTTGGTTTCAAAAGAGGTCGTATTTATAATATATTATACATTAAATTTTTTATAACGGATCATCCAAGAAGAGGTATGTACTTTTTTCAATAGCCTTTTTTGATAAATCACGAGTGAGTCTTGTCAAGCTGTAATGTTGGTTTTGCTCAATATTCAACCTTATTATGAAAATTCGTAATCGGCCGCTTCGCTCAACTTGTGGTCAACATACTGAGCGTACTATTCGCAACATTATAAACCATCTTGGGACCCAGCTCTTGAAACGTTCCGAAAAGACCCGACGTTTTTGAGCTAAAATTTGTTCAGCGATGAGGCCCATTTCTGGCTAAATGGTATGTCAAGAAGAAAAATTGCCGCATTTGGCCTATAAAACAAAAAAACAAAAGAGTTGTCACTTCATTCAGAAAAACAACGATTTGTTACGGTTTGTGGGTGGGTCCATTATCGCGCCATGATAGTTGACTATTTCATGCCTGAATTTGAAGCTCAATAACATTTGATTTTAACAAGATGGCAACATTCAATGGATTAATGAGAGAGTATTTCGTTGTCGTTCTTCCGAATGATAATAAACATTTTCGAGATCGATCGCCGATTACTATATTTTTAATAGGTGTCAAACTAGGTTGTATTTATATTTGGGGATTTACCAACACTAGTGTTGCAATCTAAAAACTCACAATTTTATCGTAAAGTTTGACCTTTTTTATGGTATGCAAGTTAGCACCCCATATATTCAAAAAGTATCATATGATGCATTAATATCATATGATATAAAGTAATGTAATATGATACCACTAAATCGCTGAGAGTGCGACACTTGTAGTGGCAACCTGTGGGAAGCGCAGTGTCAGCAGCTTCATACACGTTGCAGCGGCAAACATAGGTCTAGAGTTAAGTATAATTAATTGTAAATTTGAGTTCTTTAGTGACACTCAATAAAGGAGCATAGCTCCAACAAAATATTTTTTTTTATAAAAATAACAATACTTTTTCGAGGGACCCCAGTACCGATATAGGAAAAAGGACAACCCCGAAGCGATCAAAAACACCCCATGGGAAGCTGGGAATTATTAATGTAAGCCTTACAAAATATTCTAAGAAGATTACAATATTGTAAAAAAACAGTGCTCGTACAAAAGAAATTTTTTTTTTTAATTAATTAAACTAAGAGAAAAAAATTTGAGATAATGCCAAACACAGCCGAGGAATTAGTAGAACAGTTAAACCAAATTAGGATAGATTATGGGCAAACCACCCATCTCTCAAATCTTTCCACCCATCCTTTAAACCCTCCCACCCCTAACCCAACTCTAATAACGACAATAGTTCGAGAGGTACTCGAACGAATGAATTTACAAACTGTAACTGACTTCACTGAACCCGAACACAGCGTAACATTGAACGCGAATAATATAAATGAACTGGACAAGATTCCGGACATGGTCAAATGTCTTATAGAATTTTCAGGACGACCAGGAGAATTTAACTCCTGAAGGAAGAGCGTAGACAGAATCTTTAAAGCTTATGAGGGAGTCAAAAATACCCCTAGGTATTTCGCTATAATCCATACGATTAGGCACAAAATAATTGGTGATGCCGACACCGCATTGGAATCGTACAATACTCCACTTGATTGGAGTCAAATTCGAAAATGGCTAATGATGCATTATTCGGATAAAAGGGACGTAGGTACCCTCGAATATCAGATGACCACTCTGGTCCAACGCCATGACGACATTCCGACCTTCTACCAAAAAGTTTATCAACATCTTTCACTTATATTAGACACAATTTCATGTCTTGAGCTAAGTGACGAGTCCATACGGACTATGACCAACTCATACAGGGACAAAGTTCTTGACACATTTAGAGGACTAAATGGCGATTTACCTCGTCTTCTCAGCATGAGAGAACCGACAACCTTACCCCAAGCACTACATTTATGTCAAAAACTTGACAACATGACATATAGAATAAGTCATGCCAACAATACACACAAAGCAAATATTCAATCACCACCACGACCACCCCGAAATAACGATTTTCTTCTTCTTCTTAATTGGCGTAGACACTGCTTACGCGATTATAGCCGAGTTAACAGCAGCGCGCCAGTCGTTTTTTCTTTTC